TATGGAATAAATGGGATATGTCACAGCTGTCTTGACACCAGGGTGACCTTTCCTCCTAGATACCATGACAGTGACAGGGCTCTGAGGTATTTATAGGGTAATTTCTTATTACTGAGATGAGTGACATTGTCAGTGAGACAGCAGCCGTCAAGTAGCTAGCTGACTGAGATCTCAGGAACCTCAGGCCTACCCAACTACCAGACTCAGCACATAAGGATCCTGAATTAACCGGTATATCGGACCACACTACCCGTTTTCAAGGTGTGTGTCAGATCGCATTTCGGAGTATCATACCCCAGAACAATTTTTGTAGAACAACCCCGGGCTCATCCTGTCGGTGTTCTGACTGATACTCCGAAATGCGATCTGACACACACCTTAAAAACGGGTAGTGTGGTCCGATATACCGGTTAATTCAGGATCCTTATGTGCCGAGTCTGGTAGTTGGGTAGGCCTGAACCTGGAATAAACCACAAAGTCAGCTGGCTTATATCAGTTTGATGCCACTTAAACCTTATAAAGTATTGTTGGGTGAGAACTATGGAAGAAAATTGGTAGAAATTAAGTATGTTTGTACTAGGCTGTCAGTATATTATAAATAATTTGGCTGTAAATATAGACACAGGAGAAAATATTTGGACTGGAAAAGGGGTATCTTACTGAAGGTACCTTTGATAGTCTCATTTTAATAGTGATGAAGAGTTACTGGCTGCTGACTGAACTTAAAAGGGCACCTGTCTAAAGAATAAGTGTGGCCAGTCAGTGGACTGCAATGTGACCAGTTTCATCTGTAAAGCCAGTGGGTAAGGTCACAGTTAGTGGACAATAGCCCATGCCAGTGGTCAATGGTCATTTTCCTGTGGCCATACTGGTGAAAGGCACATAGACAGAAGTATCTTTTGTTTCTTTACAATATAAACAAACTCGGCTGTGGTTTGGTCCTTAAATGAGCACAAGGTTAATAGGCTATTAGTCACAGGAGACCTGTTGATAGAGCACCCCCAGGTCTCTATCATTAAGAGTGATCTGCAGGATAATTATATGATTAATAAATCAACCTATCAAGGCATGGTGGGTTAACTAAGGTAAACAAACCTTGTTGTGGTCTGGCTGGGAGAAGGGACAGACAGTTAATGGTGATCGGTGCAGACAGGAGGCTGGACATTTCTACTGGAATCTTATGTCCAGGAGAGAGTGGAGGGGTCTGAGTCACCAAGGGGCAGACTGGCATACCTCTATTCAGACTGTAGATTTAAAACTTCATACTTCTTCATTAAGTTGTTATAGTGAGTTAATGAGTGGACATACCTGAGTCACTGGGATACATTGGAGGTGGTAGTTCTTTCATGGTGTTCATTAGAAGGTTTCACTGGCCTTGTGATGTCCAGGTGGTGAGTGGACAGTGGTCTGAGTCATCACTGACCAGTAGGAGTTAGTGGCTGTTGTGGTCAGTTTAGAGAGGCTACAGATATTCAGATGAAGTCCAGTAGTCAGCTCCAGCTCTAGACCTGGAGTTTGTGCTGTTAACAGTTTTTAATTGTTTTGCTCTAATTTGGTTATACTTTTAAGTTTTAAAAGAATCTGTTTGGCCTTAAGTACTGTTTGTTTCCCAGAGAGTGGACAAGCAATATATCCAGGTGGTCAAGCAGTACCTGTGACAGCTCAGGCCAATGATGTGGTCATTATATTCATTTCAGAGTGCACAGCACCATGTTAGACACTAGGAAGAGTAAGTTGACATTCTCAGTGTAGGACGTCTAAGAACCAGTTAGCCAGCAGTGGAGATGCTATTTCATTCATGTGATATTTGATAAATACCAGCAGTGAACTGATGTATACATATACAAGAGAGCATGATAACTAATCTCCCGTAGAGAATAGCTTGATAGTGTTAGAAAACACAAGCTTAAAAGACAAAGGAATTGAACAGGAGAGTGAAATATAGGGAAGGATATTACAGAGGAAAATTCATTATTCATAAAATACAAATATGACTTGTATGGGATAGAGTAGCAGAAATTGTACTGGAGAAACAAAACACTATGAAAGAAACAAAATTGGAGCCGAAAGAAACAAAATTGGAGCTACAAGACACAATGGAAATGATAGAGACAAAATTGGAGAATCTTCCCCCGCCCCCGCCAGACCTGCTGGTGGACGAGGGGCCCAAAACGGATTCCAGTCAGAGCAGCAGTATCGGCGGAGACAGCGGCACCGCTAGCATGGTCTGGGACCAGGGGTGCATGCTGGGAAATATGTACCAGATCGACTGCTCCGATTGTGAGGGGAAGATACGCTTCATCCAATCAGCAGGTAGTGTGTATTTTCTGCGTTTCTGCAAGGGATTTCTTTATTTTTTCAGTGTCATATCTTGTCAAACAATAATATACAGATTTATTTTGATTGCAGGATTTTTGTCAAGAAGAAATAGGCAGTGTCTGTCTTTTGTTGTCTCTTTAATTGTGATAAAATGTCCTAGATGTGTACATGTTGTCCAGCTTTATGTAGATAAATGGTCAAGGTGTGTTAAGTGTTGGAAACTGACCACCTGGACATTAATAAGTCTTGTCCATCTGGTCAGCATACATTGTCTTCATTCACATGCAATGTCTATTTTCTAAATTCTATTTTCTATTTGCGGTATGTCTTATGATCACGGTCTGTGCCCTGAATATCCCGCCGCGTAATTACTGGCAACGCGAGCCAGTTACTATAAGTTATTATAAGTAACTGGCTCGCGTTGCCAGTAATTACGCGGCGGGATATTCAGGGCACAGACCGTGATCATAAGACATACCGCGAATAGAAAATAGAATTTAGAAAATAGACATTCCATGTGAACGAAGCCATAGTCTAATGATAAGTTTAATTTGGAAGAAAATCCCTTTATTACTGCTGACCAGTCATGGCAGGTGGTAAGGGGAGAGGATTTAGATATATAAACATATCTCAAGACTTGCATTATTATCCTTAAATTTGCATCTTTGTGTTTCATTTCCTGGTCTTTAAATTTTTATTTTTCCAGTTATTATTTTTTAATATTGAATCATCATTCATTTCTTTATGGACATTTAAAAAAAATCAGTAGAATGTCTTCTGTCATAACAGTGGACAAATATTTTATTGAAATGATCCCCATTTCAACTCAACTCCTCTCTGTCATCATCTGAACTGATACAAGATCAAAAGGAATGTAGAAATTTAGATAGAAGAGACTGATACCACACTTTTCAGGGCCTGGAATCTATCAAGTTATGTCCACAGTTTCAATTCTAGATCTATATCTTTATCATCACTGATTATGACTGATCCATGATAATTATGTGTGGTCAAAGACATTAAGGAAAGTGGGCATTTCCTGTCTTTTTCTGAAGTGACTTATCTCGAGAGGAAGTATAGGAAAGAGAAAAATACCTAATTATAATTCAAACCTGTTGTAATTTTGATTCCATAGACAAAGTCTATGAAGAGTCATGTTATTGTTTTGTTTAGAAAGAAAATAAAAATTGAAGTATTCATATCATCTATTTATATTTCAATATATTTTCTTATATGAATACTTTTTCTTAGTTACCTATGGATTGTATAATCTTTAAAATATATATATATCTCATTGTTCACCCTGTCTAAAGAGAAAGTGTAATTAAAGATAAAAGAAGTTCATCTCTCAAAAGTGAGGGAACACATGGAACCCTTTTATAGCTCTATATTATAGATGATATCTGTTCTAACTGTCAGGATATCAGATGTCATCAGTGGAAAGGGTAGGGAAGAGACGCCTAACTCTTCTGTTATTTATTGACTAAATACCTCCTCAGTTGGCAGCCTTTTCAGTGCAACCTTTACTTTACTTTTGCACAAGTACATTTATCTCTGTGCATTTGAGAACTAATTGCTGTTAACTTGTCCCTATCTTAGTGCAATTTTATGTTTACAAGATAAGAAATTTGGCAATTTCCTTTTAACGAACCCAAGTGTGACTTTATCAGATAGGGTAAACAACTCTAATTCAATTGGTAGATATATCAGAGAGAGGGAGAGAGTTTTCTACTGTGGTTATTTGTTAGAAAGCCTTTGCTGGACCCAGTTGTAACATAGCTATTCTCAAATTCTAAGAATAAGAAAGATAATTTACCTTTGCAAAAACAATTTAAAGATATTGATTTTTTGCCTTTGGCCAAAAGGCAAGATGTTTTCTCAGATAGGTGCTAGTGCCAATCCTTCGCTGTTCTCGTAAGGCACACGTAGACACATGTACATACAAATGCATGCATACACTTGGAGAAATATCATCTTTTACGGCGTATGTTTGCACTCCCTCACCTGTTGTCTTAGAGCAGCTCAACATTTATCTTATCAGGAGGGTTTATTCAAGCAATATCTTTCTGGCTCATCTTGCAGGATTCTGTTTGTGTTTCAGTCCAGAGCTTGTTGTTACAAGGCTGCAGGGAGTGAGTCATGGTGATGAGGTTTTATTGAGAGAGAGAGAGAGAGAGAGAGAGAGAGAGAGAGAGAGAGAGAGAGGGGGTTAGTTATCTGACAATGACAACAAACAACAAAAGAATACTTTAGATTGAAGTAATAACCAAATTGTTAACAATGAGAAAAACAAAGTTGATGATGTTATCATTTTCATTCAAATGTATCATGTTCTGCGTGCAACACACATTAAAAGCACATAGTGGCAGTGTTTACCTGCCTGTGTGTTTACCTGAGAGTGACAGGTGTGCAGTGTATCATATTTGTCTCATAACAGTTAGGGTTCCAGAAACCTCTATGACGAACATCACTTAACCTGTCCTGTTTTCATACCTTCACATTTTGCAGTTTTTAAATTCATGACAGTTTTATTGATCTAGATTTTATGAATGCAATCAATACATTTCAGAGCTATTGATATATCACCACCAGTGTCAAGATTAATACACACGCTACTGATTTCAAAGTTTTATTTATTCATCTGGCCTGTCATTAAAGTGTCTCCCTCTTTTGTTTTGTAGAGCTGCCTTTTGGTTGGGAGAAGGTGGAAGATCCCCACTATGGCTGTTATTACATAGAGTGAGTGTTGGGAATAGAGACGACTGCTGTAGTGCAAGAAGTCTTTCCTTTCTTTATACATATGTGGATTTAGTAAATTATCTTTTATGAAGACATAATTAGTAATAATATACATCATAATATCTCAAGTTTTTAAATGTAGTTTAATATACATTATAAGATCAAGTTATATACATTATAATATCTTAAGTTTTTTAATGTAGTTTTAATGACATTTCATTTGATAAATACTGGTTTTATTTAAGAAAAAGTTAATTTAAAATTACTTTATAAGAATACAAAAGACATATTTGTTCTAGTAGTTTTGTGATAAAAGTTGAGGCAGATATCTGTAATCATTCCTGTATATATCTATTCCAGTCATGTGAACAGGAAGACCCAGTATGAGAACCCCGTAGTACAGGCCAAGAGGGCAGCAGGGGGAGCCACTGGTAAGTCAAGCAAACGTCTGGTTATCTGACAATTCCCTTAAGTAGGACAATCCTGCTGGTGTTTGTTAACCGTTTATATATGTAGTTTACAAATGAAACTGTAATGAAATAGTTCTAGAATCAGACTGATGAGGTGTTAAATGTTAAATCTCTGAAACAAGTGACAACATCCGACACTGCTGTAGCTGTGATATTTCACAGGTCGTAGTTCAGTGAGTTGTTGTAGTGAAGATGAACAGTATTGTGTCTGTGGTTGTATCATAGGCAGATCAGAGTCTATGGATAGAACCTTCTGGTTGTACCTCAGCCTGGGGACAGGCTGACATTTGTTTAACTTGAAGTACTTAGAAAAAAAGAACAAAAACGAGAAGATGCAACTCATTGTACTCTGGTCTGCAAGAAGTATTAAAATGTGAAAGTGCAGTAAAATCAGTTAAGTGAAATTGCTCCCAAGAAGTGTAATAGTCCGTAAAGCTGCCCCTGCATTGGTCTTATATTGGTGTGTAAATCTTCCTCCAGAAGGCACTCCATCCTCTGCCAGGAGAAGCCAGGGTGATATGATTAGCATTGACTAGTGGCTGGCTGTGAGGCTTGTACTCTTTAAATGTTATCTTCTCCTGCTAAGTGTTTCTACATTCCTCCTCTGAGCCCCGGACATGAAAAGTGCAATGTGGGTTAATGGAACGTAATGGCCGCTATGTCATCACTGCAGCCTCTGGCGCTCTTTGATGAGCAGAGGTGGATACAAGAACAGATTTCTTTCACACATAACTGAAGCCACATACAATTGCACATATTTGAAGTAAAATATTTACACAAATAATGGATAAGTGATTACAGGACATTTTTTCAAACAATGTTTTTGAATGTCAACACAAAGATCAAATCAGACAGATAATTCTTTTTCGTAAGAAGAATTTCGTTGGTCTTAACTGAGATCCGGTTGCGCGCGCAGGGCACTTTAGGTTGCACGCTAGTTGAAGCAAGGAGTCTTGATGCAATACTCCTTGGTTGAAGGGCGAATTTGTCTAGTGGCGCTGATCTTTTTCACCGAAACGTGGTTTTGGGTGATTTTTATTGTGCACGTGGTGCATGCTATATCGTTATAGACAGTGGTCTTGCCGTTTGCAACGGTATTTGGCGCAATTTCAGTCAGGTTTCGTCGTCTGCTTCTGGACACGTGGTGTCATGGCGGACGAAACTACATGTAGTACCATTACTAAAAATGGACCTGAACACGTGAGTGATGGCAGGAAGGGTAAAGGGAAGTCGGCTTCCAAAAACCCTAAGTCTGTGGAGAAATCCTCGTCAGAGGATAATATTATGTCATTACTTGTATCTTTAAAGCCTCTGTGGACGCTCAGGACGGCAGGTTAGAGAACATCGTCAGCCGTATTGATAATATGGAGGCGCAAAATTATCAATAAAAGTGCAAAAAGAAGTTTGAAAATTATTTTAGAAGACCATTCTCTTTAAGGCCAGGCAATTCATACATTAGCATCTTTGAAAGTAAACATTTTTATGGCCAGACTTTGAAAAAGTTTTCTAGATAGAATTTATAAAATGTCAACTCAAAATATCTTCACACATTAGCTTTTCCATTTTATCGTCTGTAAACGTTTGATAAAGAATATTAATTTCTGCGTGTGAGTTCTTGGCTGTCCACTTTGGGTCACTCACTGGTCATCCAAACCAAACTTACCCCAGATCTCCCTAGGAGTCCGTGAAAGACTACACTCTCTTGTCATATATTATCTGCACAAAACATAATTTGTCTACGTAGAAGTTAGAACCCATTTTCCTTGTGTAAGAAGGACCTTTAAAAAAGAACATTCCCTCCATAGTTTATAGGCACTAGGCTTTTAGAGAGATTCTGACAGCATGGGTACACGTGCTTCACAGCATAAACAATATTTAGTCAAATATTGACTACAGATGAGGAGATTGACCTATCTTATCCTGTTACCTGGAGTGGGTTAACCTTTTACCCCCTGAAAAAAAAATTAAAAGGCATTTCTACTCGAGGTGAAATCTTTCGTCCATGCTGGGTTTGAGATAACTGGGGAACTTGTAGAAATACAGAGAGCTTGTATAAAGTTGGGGGGAAAAGAAAAGATAATTGGAAAAAAGTGAAAGATCAAGTGTGACTTCATGAACTTAACAGGAAGGAGAAAGCATTAGTATGAATCTTCATATCCTATTTGGGCTTGGAATTTCCGTTAAATTCAATACAGTGTCGATTCCCTGGATGTTACATTGGATTTTCATTAAATCAGTGCCCATTACTGGCTGGAGGTTTACCAAGATGGCCTGGAAGGGCACCAGGAAATCACTTTTTTCATGAGAAGCACTTGGTTTTTAGTCTGTCCTGTAACATCCTGATGAAAGTTTTTTTTTTTTTTACTGGGATAAATAACGGAGGTTTTCTGTGATTTAACCAAATGTATTTTTCATATCTTTTCAAATTTTGGTCAAGATGACTTTCGACTCTGAAATTGGCTGATATTATGATCGTGTTGATGGTGTTGTCAGTGACGGAGAGTTCACTCTTCAGAGAAAATCCAATAAGCAAGGATTAGCCCTGACACTGATGAAGCTACATGATCCTGAAAACCAACATCAAATTGCTGCAGACAAATTTTTCAAAGAATTACAGTGAAACAGGAGACACTTTCAGACGAAATTTATCATTCTTGGTGGCATTTTATGGTCATCTTCACAGAAGAGGATCTGTGTCTGTAACGTTCCGTTAATAAAGTCCAGAATGTTCTGTTGTGTTTTAGGTGGAGAGGAAGAGTCCCCACAGCGACCTCATAAGGAACCACCAGGTAAAAACTGGAATCTTTCATCTCTTCTGTCAGTATTACTGGGGTAGATATAATTAAGACATTCAAGAGGAATGTTGGCCTTTCAAAGTACTACTTTTGATATTGCTTGAGTAGATTAACTCTAATTATTTGAATAAAAGAATGTTTCCATGTTACACAGAAAAACAACTTCTCTCAAATGAAAAAAAAAAAATCTGAAACCTAGTTAATGCCATGTATTGTCTTGATATTCAGTCGATATATTAACAGGTATAATTGGGAGCGTAGTGCTGAATTTAAATTGATCTTGACCTTCAGAATACTCTGTGTAATTTTATGTTTGGCATTTCTCATAATTTCTAGGGTATGAGGAGAGGATACGCCCATTCTTCACCAAAAACCCTGCAGAGCTCAAAGGAGAATTTATGAAGACGGAACTCGTGAAAAGTCCGAGAGGGTTTGGCTTCACCATCGTCGGCGGGGACGACAATGACGCGGAGTTTTTACAGATCAAAAATGTAGTGCCAAATGGACCAGCTTATGAAGATGGAATACTCAAAACAGGTAAAATGAAGGCTTGCTGAAATCTGACAGGAATGGTAATAATTAGAAATGATTTACAGTATTTATGGTAAATTAATGATAAGTCTAAGTCCAAGTATATTGCTAGTGTTGGTAATAGTATAGAAAAATATAGGTAAATCAAAATCAAGAAATTAAGTAGTAGATTTCATTGCATTGCATTCATTGCATTTTGATAGATCTCTATTCTTAAGTCATTAGAGTAGCTGATTTGACAAAATATTAACTATTATTTCATCATATATTAATATGACACTAATAGAGTCATTTAAACAGTTCACTGATAAGTTAATAACCGTCTGTGATATTTCCAGGTGACATCTTGGTCCATGTAAATGACAGGTGTGTGCTGGGATTCACTCACCAGGATGTAGTGGCCATGTTCCAAACCATCCCCCCAGGGGAACACGTCCTCTTAGAGATCTGCAGGGGGTACCCTCTGCCCTTTGACCCCAATGACCCAAATACAGAAATAGTTACCACTGTTGCCGTGACGATGCCCCCAAACACTCCCACAAGCAACACGCCTTCGTTCTCGGTGGGGTCGGGAGGCGCGGACGGGTCGGCGTCACGAGGACATAATCTCAATAATAGCATATTAAATCACAAGGATAATAATAACTTGTCTCAACTGCACAACCAAAGTGGCGAGGTCCCACACATGAATGGGGGGGAAGACACACCAGACATTCTCAGCCTCTTTCCCAGTAGTGCAAAACCAGAACTCTTCACGATACACATAGTTAAGGGAACGATGGGCTTTGGCTTCACCATAGCTGACAGTGCCTACGGGCAGAAAGTGAAGCAAATCTTGGACAAGCCGCGGTGTAAGACGTTACAGGAAGGAGATATACTTGTGGAGATTAATCATATTCGGGTCAAGGACATGAGTCACTCGGAGGTAGTACTAGTACTTAAGAGTTGTCCCAAGGGGCAAGAGACAGCTGTCGTAATACAGCGAGGAGGAATGCTCACTCCAAGTAAAGGAAGGAAAACCTCTAAATCGGTAAGTATTGGTTTTAGATTAGACCATCAAGCAGAGTGAATTGTGGAAATGAGGATGTGAAATGGATGCAGCAATTTATGTCAGATTTTTTTATTGCTAGTTCTCTTGTTATTTGTGAAATGTATGGAAAAATACAAACCAAGATGGCACAAGGCCTGTGCAAGTGACATTTATCACGTATTTTGCAAATTTGGAACTCTGCTTCTATTAAAACTTACACTTACCCAAACAGATAAAAAGTTAAACATTAATCTTTTCTCAGTAATTAGCCAATTTAAGTTCTCTATAGTCATTAGGTAAAAAGTTGTTAACATTTTGTGCAAAAGAGCAGCATGTCGCCAACCATTTCTAAAGCAGCCAGGACTGACAAGTCATTTTAGTACAAAATTGTTCTCTTTGAGCCCTAATAGAATTTGTATTGATTTAATTCCAAGGAGCCATTTAGATGAGAGATATCTTAATCCCACCAACTTGTTGCATTGAGCTGACTGTGTTGTGACATGGTGCAGTCCATGGTGTTATTCATCAGTGATGGATGACTGATGGTGTTCTAGGTGCTGAAAATGTCAAACTAACATGCTCTTTCTGTGCACAAGTGGAAACTTGACATTGGGTTGAAATGTTATCCACTTCTGCTGGCTAATTTGGGAGAGAAGTGGATTTAAGCAAGAATTGATTTTCTTGCTTTAGAGTTGAAAGTTTTTCACTTTTGACTTTAAATTGCTTCACCTGATGTTGATGTGTTATTGTTTAAGTCTGATGTTGCTCATCTTTGCATTTAATTTTATTACATGCCTAGTGCTTATTAGAATTTCAAAAACAAAATCTTTGCTTGGTTTTGTGATTGATAATAATATATGACATGGAGAGTATGGAGTATAAGTTGAGCCTGCAAGACAATGACAGCTGAAATTAATTCACTGATCAAGTTATAAATGTTGCATTATCATAAAAGATGGTAAAATTACTATTGTATTGTTTATCTCTTCAGCCTAAGAATGTAGAAGATAGACGCGGCTCACAGGGTATGGAGGGAAATGTATCCGGCGTCAGTGTCCCCAACGCTTTCTTTTACTCTCCAGACTCTTCCATAGCTTCTCAAAGTACAGGTAAGTTCTCAGGGCAAGGCGAAAAATTTTAAGACAAAATGGTTTTTTTTTACCAGCCTGTAATAAATGGATATAACATGAATGGGTGAGGCACGTGATTTCTACATGAATGCAAGCCAGAAGGGAGTGTCCTGCACCTCGATTGTGCTTGTAAGAGTTTTATCACATTTGGGTCTTTTGCTTTGGACGTCCACTTTGTTGTGATCGAAGTCGTATCTGGTCTAAATTCTTTGTGAAGTATTCTGAATGTCCTGTTATGTCATTTACATTATTCTAGCTTCTTTGTTTGTACAGTTCTTAGCTGATAAAATATATTAAGTTAAGCTGTAGTAATCATTATAGTATGGTTGTGCCTTATGTCTGCCAGATATCTTTTACAGGTGTCTGTGATTGACTTGATTGTTAGCCAGCATTGAGCTTCGGCATTCTTCTATTGTGTTAGTAAATTGGGTTAGATTTATGTTTTGAAAAGGGTTCTAGCATCATTCTTTACCTGGTGGGTTTGTTTTAAAATCAAAGAGAAAAGCACCTATTGATCCATGTGGGGTTATAGAGGCAATAGATTTTCAATAAATATATATTTTACCCCAGTGTTTGTGCTGCTAGAATGTTTTCATTATTTATATATATATATGTATTTTGGTCATTAGAAGTTGCATTGGTGTTGATAAGTCAGCGTGTTTTCCAGGGCAAAGCAAAGAGGCAGCCAAACCAGATATTTTAAGAAATGATAGTTACAAGAAAGAGGAGGGTAGAAAGGGTTTAGATCAATCAGAGAATCAGAAAACAGGTAAAGGTTAGACTGCAGTCTTAGAGCTAACATTTTCCTTTTGTTTTAGTCTAACCAGCCAGTGTAGTATGATTAGGTCTTTGATTTGTCTGTTTATTTATTTATTTATTTATTATTTGTTTTTCTCTCTAGATTTGCACCATTTTAGCTGTCTTGGATGGCTGAATTCGTTAGGCATAAGACGAGCATGATTGATGTCATTATTGTTGGTATTGTTTTGTTATTGTTTTTCCTCTATATTTTGCTTCTTTTCTTTCTTATACAATTGTCATTGTTGTATTGCTGTTATTTCTTTAGGTGTATTTCCCTCTCCAGATTGTTAAGACTTTCTGTATGATTTTGTTTATATTTTGTTTGCTATTAAAACTACCCACAATTTACTAACTGTGTAGTGTGAAGTACAACTACAAAAATGAAAAAAAAAAATCCCATATTTACCTCATAGTTTGGCTGATGTGACTGTAAAAAATAATAATAATAAGCTGTTCAGTGCAAAACATGTGAATCTTTTTATAGACTAGATTTGATTTCAATCCGCTTCCTAAAACACAAGCCTTCAGAACCTTTACTTCAGAATAAAGCTGTTTTGCCACTTAAAAAGTTCATTGACAAAAGATTGAGAAAATAGAGACAAATTTTTCACACCTCGCATGCATTGAATCAGATGGTTTTCAAAGAAATGAGAGTTGACCACAGCACTCTTTAAGTTCACTGAAGACATGACGGTGTCTTGTTAATGTCAGTCCATCAATCTAACGTCACCTTTTTGTTCTCACAAAAGTTTCTACTCTCAGTCCTGGGTAAAGTGCTTACGTACTCTTCTGTTGTGTAGACGCGTTTAGACAGAGTGACCTGAATCGGGAGTGAACCATAGAGGAACATGGCGGAGGTGGTGTTAATTGAGGAGTGTCTGTATGAAGTAATGGATTTTTCTCACTGAGTTATGCTTATGATTATGACAATTTTTTATTACAAGCACATTTGTTATCAAGTCTCTGGTTTAATATGTTTAAATTATAGAGTTGGTGTCAACCTTATACATTATACACAACCATATATTGTTCCATTTGGACCACAGTCGGTTCTAGTGACTCTGTCTAAACACTCATTAAATTTGAGCTTGCATGGTGTGCACGTTATACTTTAAATATATAGTACTTCTAACAGTGTTTGTGATCACATGAGCTCCTGGTAAGTAGTAAAAGGTTGCTGTATTTTTAGATATCTCTGCATTATGAATCTTGATTCTAATAATTCCTTGACCATATGAATGTTTTATTTTAATAAGTTGAATTTGTCGTCATGGTAACCATTGACTGACAGGCATTATAAATTTAGATATAAATTAAAAAATACATTTGATTATATCTGGGTTTTCCAATAGCCTTAATCAATTAATATCAAAGATATTAAGATCTTTTTCTTTAGCTCATGATTAAGGTTGCACTAGTTGTTGAAAATGAGAAAATTTTCACGCAATAAGTTCACACCACACACTGTCTGGCATTCTTATATCATGTTACATATGTTAGAATTAAACAATATAGGATTGGAATGAATTATAACATACTATGCTGGCAGTCTGGGCCACAATATGCTATTAGCAAGTGTGCACATGTTATACATTTTAAAAAGGACTTTAAGGCAGCCTTATTTTTTATCAGGAATTCTGTTTTTATTGATGACAAAGTATAAATCTCATTTAGCTTCTGGCTCTCATTTAAGTGTCCTTAGAGTTGTTTTTTGTTAATTATCACTTTTGAGTTGTACTAAGGCAGGTTCGTCTTGGATTCTGTGTGTCAATGTGCAGCCTGCTCAGCTACCAACCCCTGGTGGAAAAAATGTCGCCTCCAGCAGTGAAAGGGGCTGTTAGCTGCTTAAGTGTATTGTTGCCAACTTCCCTTATGCCATTGACTTAAGAAGAAACATATTTAGGCTAGGATTAAGAAGATATTTGGTCGATTTTCTTGGATTTGGAGAACTCAATGGTGTGAGGTTAGTGAAGGTTTGTGGCTTGAGTTTGTGGAAGTTTTCAGAGTTTCTTAGGATTAAGGCAGCTAAATCTGTTAGATTAGCAGGATTTCTGTGGATTATCTTCTTAACGTGAAATAATCAGATTTCTGGATTTTCTGCTGAACTATGAAGTAAGTTGGGATATAAGGGAAGATGTGATTTTTTTATGTTGTTACATACTTATCTTCCACGGTTAGTAGGAAGACATAATTTAAGGTTATCAGTTCAGTTACAAACAATTAAATGTAGTTTAAGAATTAACTAGTCCAGCAACAAATTGTGATCCAATCTTCAGGAATTTAGTTGCTGTTGTAGAATGAGCATGTTTGAGAAAAGCATGTAAGTAGCTAGTTCTAGTCAAAACTTTTCAGTAAAAAAATGAAAATTATAAATAGTGGAAAATTGATTTAAAGAATCCACTGAATTTCCTTAAGCCCAATCTGATAACTTTTAAAAATTCCAAATTTGTTAATCATTTGCCTAAGATAGGCAGTCAGTGTCAAAAATTTATGTATCAAGGGACACACTGACAAAAGGCAAAGATGGATTTGTCTGCCACTGTCTCAAGGTGGAAGGTTAACACAGGTAAATGCTGTTAAAAATGGGGTTAATGTAAATGTCCGTAGGATAACTTGACACATACCTGGTGTGTTGCCTTCAGCAGGACAGGTGTGAGTTGATTACCTGTATAGATTGTGTCCACCTGGCAGGTAATCTACAGACAGCTGAGGTAACTTGGGTTGATATGAAAGCTGGGTTGGAAGTAACTGGAGGAATGCACGGAGGCAGCAGGTGCTCCTAGGTATCGCGCAGTGATAATTGGGGTTATAGGAGAATTATTACATGGTATTAAGAGTATTATTGGGGATCTTGATATTTACATGGAATAACTATCTGGAAGTGTGCCTAGACAAAATTTTAAAGAAACAACATCATTCAAATATATAACGCGGTACAGGCAATTCCAACTTTAATGGTACAAGCAATTCCAGCTTTGTTTAGCCTGATCACATCTGATACTCTCACTTACAAATCTGTGGTCAAGCCACTGTGTGTGTTATCTGGCCACCACTGGCTAGTCAGTATTAACTGACCACCCCCTGGCTAAAATGGGCTGGACTTCAGTGTGGTCCACCACAGTGGTCAGTTAGTAGCCTCCAGGAGGGTGTCAGTATATGATAGCCGTGGTCAGCAGCAAAGGGCACTTGATACACATAGTAAATATTTGGTGAGGTAAGTGATGCTAGGATATGTTGATGTGTATGGAGTGGGAGCTGTTTATCTTCTTTACGTAAGATTTCTTCCTTACATAAAAAAAGATAAGATAGTTACTGGATACTGTACAAAATGAACATGAATATAGAGTTTCATAGGAGGAGATTTTCTTTGCTTTCGTCAGTCTGTTTCTATCCCATATGAAGGAGAGAAATGATATCACTATTTTGTGATGTCAAAGATGAGGTCAGGACAGAGATAACGAGATGTCATGGTTTGTGTTGATTGTATTTAAAAGAACTGTTTATTAGGAATAACTAGGGAACTGATACCAAGATTAACCCTTCAGCTGAAGTGGGGTTGAAAATCAAATATTATGTCATGCAGCATCTTATGAACAATATTGTAGGAGCACTCTTGAGTGTATTTTGTCCACTGATAAGATACTTATTGTGAAGAAATGTCTGATACAGCAAACATATTTACAGTGAGATAAACCCTATGCTAATAGCTGTATTATCTTTAGAGGGGATGAAATTCCATGTCATGCAGCATCTTATGAACAACATTGTAGGAGCACTTTTGTGTGTATTTTGTCCTTTGATAAGATACTTATTGTAAATAAATGTCCAACGCATAAGATACTTATTGTAAAGAAATGTGATACTGTACACATATTTACCGTGAGATTAAGTCAGATGCTAATAACAGTGTAAGTCTTATGCTTTTAGCAGTATTACCTTTGGCGTGTCAGAAGTGAGATAGAGAAGAGCATGTGATGGCTGAGTGTTTGACCACGTACTTGAGGGATGATTTATATATCTTGTAACATTTCTAATATGAGGCCTGAACTGATACTGTATCTACTTGAACTTTACAAAGATCATTCCACAACTGTGCCCAGTAGTCTAGAGCTAATGTGTGGCTTGGGCGTTCAGATAGATACACCAAGACCAGGAGGAGGATTGTAGTCTTCTACACCGTGGCTTGGAGTACTAGTGTCATTTTATGATGTGTATTGAGAATGAAATGGGGTAACTGAAAGCACATGTTTGTGGAAGTTTTGAAGAATTTTTGTCCATAAAACTTGAGAAATTTGTGATGATCTCCACATACGAAAACCCCTGCTCTCTTAAGCCTGAAGTTTTCCCAGTTTTCTAGGAAAATTTTATCCCCAGAATATCTTTAATCAGCACATACCATACAAGAAGCAGGAGCTGGTATCATCAGGTCAGCTGCAGAGGGACGGCCTTAATTGATCCAATTGAACCAAGAGGATAATAAAGAAGAGAAGTGGAAAGACATTAAGGGATCACCGTTTATCTCCATCCTTTAAGTGTTTCTAAAATTGATTTTTGAGGAGGATATCTTTGGTTAATCCTTTGTGGCTCTTCTGCAGAGAATCGTGTTGGATTTAAAGTGCATTAGATGAAGCGGATAAAGTAGTGGATGAAAATGTGACAGTTCACGTCAGGAGATACATATGCTGCATTGACTTCAAAGTGACACATGTTTGTACTGGTTCACAAACAAAAAAGAAGGAAATTTTAAGTGTATGAACCATTGTGATTTATATTTTTTATAAGAGACGCTTGGCAGCTTCCTGTATTATTCAGTATATAGTAATAAACCCCATATCCTGGAGAGCCTGTTATAAATGGAGAGGAAATGGATTAAGTTGTGATGTTGTGTATAATTCCAGTAGAAAAGCCAAACTTTATATACCCAGTGTCCAGCAGGAAGTGACCTTCCTGTTCAGTGGTCAGGGGTGC